GTGAGCTGACCAGACACATATGTGTTAACTACTAGTAGTGGGAAAAGTCATCACCATGGTACTGTGCTAGCTACTGCGAGGGTAGTATTCCATTTGGCGAAAAGCGTGGGCGATTGAAATTCCTGATTTGCCGTAAACGTCCTTTGCATACGTCTCTCTTGAATATCCAGAAATGTATATTGACACTATAGTTACTTCCGTAGGCGTTATGAGAGACCTGGCTCCCAAATAGGCTTTATTATTAGCGCGTGGAGGGGCTGGGATGCTGGCAGTTCTATGTGTCACTAGACGAGTTTTGTTAATTAAGCGTGAAGGTCAAATCAACGAGGGCTGAGCAGTCGTGAGTAGTGACAATTCTCTTTGGTCTACATTGGTCTTATCCTTTTGATCTATTTTCTCGGTGTCTCCTGTACCTAATCTCCTACGTCAGTTTGAGTGAAATTGTGAAACAAGGACTAAAGCAACGTGATGACTTTGTCAAAGTCAACGTCAGGGATACATCTTGTAGATTTTGACGGTGTCACACGCGCCCTTGAAAGCTGGGCTGTTAATTATCGATCGAAGCTAGACAATGTTTTCCAAGGAGAGCACTTCGTAGAAACAATATAACTCAGTTCTCTGGTATTCCATTCCGATTTCAGTCATTACAGCGCAGGTAGATTTCTGATGTGCTGGTTTTACTCCTCATTTACTGAGATAATGCAAGCAGTTCTCTTTTTGGACCAGGATCTGCAACGATGCAAAACTTGATAGTGGAAGAGTTGTCAGGAGTCTGTGTGATTTTTGTAGTCCTGCTTTTGTTCCACTGAGGACGTGAACGCTCTTCCGGCTTCTTCCACCAATGTGTCACACGCGTTGTGCACGCATTACAAATCCTCTCGATTCTGGAAGCAGGTTAGGATGAGTGCACGGAAGAGCCAGAAGGCTGGCTGCGGAGCTCCATACCACTGGAGGGTAGGTCAAGTTACGTGAGGCTGGAAGGACCTACATGATTACGCCTAAAAACAAAAAGAAGTTTATCAAATTGAGGATATGGATGGAGCCTACGCTCTAGACATGACTGGAACCATACACGCAGAGGTAGACATCCGGTGCGACTGCTGCCATAACAGTCATTATACTACCGACCATAACACCTGCAGCTGTTGTAGTCTAAACCAAAACAAAAATCTAGTGAGCTAGCCATTCGTGATTCCTTTGAACAGGCGTTGCCTCGATTCCACTCGAATTTTAGTGATTGTACTAGCTGTGTTCCCTTTGTGAGCTCGAGTTCACTAACTCTCGTGCATGCATTTATGCATCAGAAGCAGCAACTGAAGCAGAAGAGGCATCAATGGCCGCAGCGCTACATGCTAGCAGTCATCACAACAGGGCGACTAAAAGTGTCTGCTTCGCGCTGACGACGAAGGATGACGGCTACGACTACTGCAGCGAGGCCGAAGACAACAACGCGTACGTGTACGCCTGAAAGCTGCGTTATTGGGCAGCGCTGCTCTCCACCAATCAGCGCGTCGGCGTATAAGGCGCACTTACGATCGATTGCAAATCCCGTGCGCGCGTGTGTGCGCGGTTAGGTATGGGATTGGTGTGAGGCAATGTACAAAGGAGAAAAGGGGTAAAGAGGGTGGACAGTGTCATGTGCCTCCATGATCACTGCCAGCTGATTACGTGGGTCGATAAGTAGCCATGACCTTGAGCCTATCCAATCAATCACCTCCCCAGTACAAGCTGCGAAAATTCCAACTCAATTAAATGTGGTATCTGATTTCCCTGACACGCAAGTTTTATTTAGACATGCTTTGTTGAGTCATAAATGTTGTATGTGGTCAATAGCGCGAAATGAAGCTGGAGCCATAACCTCGTGGTGCTGCGACTTCGGATTTGCAATTTTTGGTTCATTGATTCTGAATTATTTCAAGTGTTTGAGACTAGTTTTTACTGGTCAATAATGAAAAGTTATCTCCATGAATGACCCATTGAGTATTGCTTGTAGATCTGAGATAGTTTGCCGTTCTTTAAACCTCTGGAGAACTTTTTATTAAAGAATTGCATCTTCGATAAACATTTTTAATCCGATCCGACAACAAAGTATGTATTGAAAAAGACAATTTCCTCTTTGCATTCTGCGAATGGACTGACTAAAGTCACCTGAGACCATTGTGGTTCCCAGATGCGGTATTTTCCATTTACTAGAAGGTGACATTGGAGTAAGCTAGTATACCCTGATAAATCAGGGTCGTCTACTCTGTCGTCAGTGGGGAAGGGAAACGAATTCAAAGCAGAGCTTGACGCGTCCTGTCAAAACCCTGATGTTAAATTAATGCCTACTTTGAGCATGAGTCCCCATGGACCCACAATAACTTATTGCTTCTTTAATCTTTGGGTAATCATGAATTAGTCCAATGAGTGGGGACCTAAATAACCTATTTGAGGTGACCTCATCTGATCACAAAAATAGAGTTTAAACTGGTTGTGCTACCAAGAAGGGGTTATCATCCTAGAGTGAAGAGAGCTGCGAAACTTGTGCGTAACTTTAAGTTGAAGGGAAGGAATTACTTAGTGCTATCAATGATATTTTGTGGGTTAAAGGGAATGCTTGTTTCAGAAGCAAAAATTCATCTTCATTGGAATGTGTGCTCAGTGGAGAGTAAGTTTCTTCCTCGCAAAGTCGTGCCTGGGAAAAGTGGCCGGGTGCGTAGCTTTTTGCGCCTTCAGTCAGCTGCAGGCACACGGGGACTACGGAGGTGGAGATTCTATCGACGATTCAAGTAAACAGGAGGATGACAGCTGAAGAAATTTCAGACATACACTTAATTTTCCCTTGTCTTGCCTCTCATGAAGGCTTTGATCTTAGCCGTGTGTGTCGGGCGGTGCCTGAGCAACTGCTGTCGGAGGAGTATTGTTGCAATCGCTTAGACGTCTACTCTTGACATTAAAAATATTAACATGACATGAAAATTCCATCCCATAATTCGTCATTTATACATGAAATAATCAGAAAAGCAATGTGAATTTAATTTGTGAAAAACCGATAGATTGAATCTCTCGGAACTGTATTTCAACAAGTAAACTAGGTTCTGAGGTAGTCGTAAGGGTTCAAATAAATGCCCTTAATTCACTTATAAGCTTGGCCTGACACTTAAACTAAACAATCGACCTGAATGTTAATTGACCCGGTAAGAGAGAAAGTAGTAAAATGAAAACTTTTGTTTTCCATTCTCAGTCCGTTTTTACTGACCTCGAGTTGGCCGCAGTGATCATTGCCTGTGCCGTCCATGACGTGAATCATCCCGGTGTCACCAACCAATACCTTATCAATACGAGTAAGTCCTTCTTGTCATTCTTTATCCACAGTTTACTAAAAGCAGTGAATCTTCTGAGATCTACATCACTGTTTCTTTGACATTTGGTTCTTTGGTTCCTTTTGATTATCCATATTCGCTATTGTTGCTGCCAGATTTAAAACCCCCATTTTTACGAATTATTGCGTACTTTTTAGTCTCACGACATTTGTACTTGGAGGGAAAAAGTGGGGCACGGTTGTCACACTGTCACCGTGACGCAACTGTCTATTTTGATAGATAAATGCATGCACGAACTTGGACTTGTACGAAATTTTAGCAGCCCTGTAATGGTACTGTGATTGTCCTGATAGAAATTTGGACATTTATGATTGCGATCGTATTTTGGCTAGAATTCTTAATAATTTCGGATCCCGTTGAAACTTCCCAGCTCATTCTTCTTATCCCTTGCAAGAAAGTGGTTATCTTATTTTCTGACTGGTGTCCAAACTTCCTCAATAAACTTCCACGAAGATTAAAACCCCTTTTTAATAACTAGAAACTGTAATAACATTTCTCCTTATTTTATTTCCAACCACAGAACAACCTTGTTGAAGCGAGATAAATCACGTCAAACATCAAAAGGAAAATTTGCATCATAAGTTGTGTAAGACGACGAAAGCGACTCTCAAAACCAATCAGTTTGCCCACTTTCTGACTGGACGGGTGATTTTCCTCATTCGCTTTTCCCACCTATCGCGCAATTAATTAGTCCCTTTTAGGTATTGCAATTTAGGAAGGAAAAAGATTGAAAAATTTTCTCAAATAAATGACTAGCTTATTTGCCAATTGGCTACTTGATCTCGCCTTCATTGCCTGGAACCAATCAAATGCTGGCTCGTGATCGGGCGAGTTTCCCAGCTCAGATCGTCATCCATTCGAAGTGGGTGGGAGGGGTGAGGGAGAGGGAGGGGGGGAATTTGAAAGCAGAGAGACTTTCGATAAAGCCACGATTAGTTAACACCGGGATGGACATTCAATTGGCCTATGAATGAACAGTAATTCTGGTCAAGATAGAGGTGCTAGTGGTCGGTTTCCAGTTTTTTTTCTATTAATAAACTAAAGGCGTTCCCTTCAACGCAAAGCTTTGATGGTGCTCCACTTTTGAGGTTATTAACACTAATTGCCAGACATAAATTACCCTCCTTTTTAAGAAATAACTTGTAACCGCCATTGAAAATTCGTAGCACAAAGGGTTGTATTAATTCAGTTGACTTCTACACTATTAGGACCTGTTGCTTAAAGGCGCTGTTCAGTTACTCGTAATTAAATGAAAGTCCCTTGACGAAAAATTAAAAAGTAAAATTAAATATTTGAATGGTAAATAGTGTATGTCTATGTGTCCGTGGATGTTGAGATCAAGATAATCAAGCTACTGAGTAGGCTATAGGTGAGTGATTTATTTGTACTCTAGATGATGCACTGGCGATACTGTACAATGATGCCTCGGTGCTGGAAAACTATCATTTGGCAGTGGCCTTCAATTTGCTCACCTTTCCCGGTTGCGATATTCTCGTGAATCTCACCCGAAAGCAACGCCTCACCTTCCGGCGCATGGTCATTGATATGGTGAGTTGAGGCACGATGAGATGGTTATATTATGGAGTATGCATCCTCATTCCCTTTAGTGGCGCCGATGTGGCACTAAGTTCTCATTTAACACGAGGACGCTTAGTCAGCAACACAAATGGCATGCATTTGAACCAAACACAGCAGTTTCGGAAGCTCCAGTTGGTTTCCTTTAGGGTGGTTCTCTTGTCATCTTCATTTAGCCTGAAGTTACTGTGTTCACTCTGTTAGTAGCACAACTTCCCACCCACTTTAATGGCTCCACTTTGGCTCATTTAACCAATCGTCATATCAGAGAGAGATATTGTGATTCGATTATATCAGAGACGCTGAATTAGCCTTTTAAGTAACATATACTGCTATCTGGTCTCATGCGCTGATTCTAAGCCAAATTTTTCGAAAAAAAATCATAACTTTCCTGGGGAGGAATTACTCAGTGATTTTCTTCTATTAGAAGTGCCGAATCGGCCTTATAATTACTGTCCATTCTAACCCGACTCGACGAGGCCAATCAAACCTGAACTAATTTTGTTGCGTCCTTCACTTCAACTCTCCCTAGAAAAGTTTGCCGCTCTAATAAGTACGGAACTTTTGTTTCACTGATGGATTCTCAATTTACTACATCAGTAGCTTATGTTTCTATCTGCTTCGAGGTCACCGAGTTGGAGTAATTGGCCTCTTTAGAGTTTCCCTTCCATAAGGAAGACTGTACTCGGTTATCCCAAACTATCCACATTGAGAGCGTGTAGATCCATTTATTTGAATAACTTTAATTCGAAGTTAAGCATTATTTGACACAACGCTAGCTTTGGCGCCGTTTAAAACACCTTTGTTCTAAAAAACTATCTAATTGCGTCTGACTCAGTGACCCTGAAATTTTCATCCAAGTAGTAGTAGTTCCTGCTTGGATTGTTTCTCCGGCGAAGTTTGGAACAGCTGAAAGAGACTATGAGATGTTATGAGCCAGGTCGCTTGACTGCACCTATCGCTCGAATCCACAGGCGCTGACCTGGATTCTCCTTAGCTTCCACTAAAATCTCATTTAACTCAGTGGCCAAATATGCCTTTTGAGAATTCGTTGATTACTTGAATTTTAGCACTGTCGGCAGCACGTTCTCTCGTCTTCCGTGTTGGATTCACTGTCCCGAGAGAGACAGAATGTGAAAATCAAATTGAAGCTTGGCGTACCTCTGATTCCTTTTTCTGGCTCAAATTGTGATTGGCGTCAGTGAATACATACTTGGTTTTCTAAAAAATCAGAATTTCCATATTAACGCCCCATGTTCTTAAGTCACCGAGCGGCCTTTCATTGTAACTACACTTCGAAATGGTTTAGTATGTCATTTCTTAAATAATTTTCATTCAAATAAAAGGGAAAAATTAAGGCCCAATATTTATGATTAGAGCAAGCAATTTTAATATGCTTTGCCGACTGAAATTAATTTAAGTAAAGCTTATTTTTAAATAATGTAATGCGATTTATAATCCCATTTAGGTGCTCTGCACGGATATGTCGAAACACATGTCCCTTCTTGCCGACCTTAAGACCATGGTGGAAACCAAGAAGGTGGCCGGTTCAGGCATCCTCAACCTCGACAACTATACAGACCGCATGCAGGTAGACGGCCAATTCCGCGACTCTGTGTGCTAGCTTGTCCCGGGTGTGGATTGGGTGTGTCTTGTCGCACTGGAGACATCATGTCATGTAGCACTCGCTTGTAGTCTGTGTTGGTGCGTCTAGGCGTGTGCGTGTAAAGGTGCTCGAGCTGTCTGATCTAGTTGGAAATTCCATATGGAGCACCATTTTAGTAGAATTATTAGAGAAAATATCGACAGCCGTATTGTTTGCTATTCACTTCTAGAGTTTTACGCTAGTTCAAAAGGTTGTTCTGTGCGCTAGTGTGTAATTTTGCCAGCAAATTCGACACCCCTTGTAAATTTCAAGAATTGATGTAACTAAACGCTAAACGCCACTAATATTTCGGCAAGCATTGTTTATGTTTACCGTGCCATCTGTGAGGGCTGTTTGCCATCGGTTGTTTAATTAATGGTTTTTTATTTTGCGAATCGTGAATTTAAAGGATGAGGGAATAAGTCCTAGACAAATAATGGATGGACGGATCTAGGATTTATGCACGAATGGATTGATGGAGTGATGAATGAGCTAGAAGTTGATCCGAGTTTGGCGACTATTTGAACCGAAGAACTATTGTTTCGTTTAGCTTCTGGAATGAGAAAATGTGATTCCTTATTCTCATAGTCATCGCATGTTAGATTCTTGGTAAATTGCTACCATCAGTGTAGGTCCTCTTAATTGACGAATCCCCTTATATCCGTGCCAGATCACTTTTTTTGCTTTTAACCCCCAGATCCTACAGAATATGGTGCACTGCGCGGATCTGTCTAACACAGCGAAGCCGTTGGATCTTTACACCAAGTGGATGCACCGTCTCATGGATGAGTTCTTCCTCCAAGGTGACCGAGAACGCGCCGCCGGTCTCGACATCAGCCCCATGTGTGATCGTGAAACTGCCACTATTGAAAAATCTCAGGTACTTTTCTTCCACCTCCTCTCGCATTCTGTGCTATTATTGGTGCTAATGGCGAAGCATAGGGGACGAAATCTTCAGAAGCGTCAACTTTTAACCCCTTCAGAGCGGTTGAATTCATCTTGAAAATATACGGGTGTTGATCAAGGGAATGCTGTCAATGGTTGAAAAAAGCCCGTGCTATTTTCGTTAGACCTCGCTGCAATGACTTATTGTAAATTGTAGGGGCAGCTTGTAAATTACACGCAATCGTTTATATGCATGGATGAGGAGGTGTCAGTTTATCCTCTGCCCTCCTTATTGTCCTCCGCACCACTCTTCCCGTTCACTTGTACACTCCATTAAGTGAACCTGATGGATGGTAGTTGAGCTTGTCTGCCCTACAAAATGTGTCACTATTGGCAGGTTAATTTGAGATAAGCGATTGGACTTCAGAGGCTGTCCTTATTCCTTCCCTTTGACATTCTACACTGCTTTCTGACTGACAGACTGATTGGGAAGAAAGAGACTATCTCACCCTCACTCCCCCTATTCCCTCGATGATGTCTCAACGAGTTCCAAAGGGATTGTCATCTTTTCTGGGCATTAGCGCTAGACACTTACATGATCACATTGGAAAGAGAGGAGGCAAAGGGGAAATAAAAGTGAGATAATAGAAAATGAAGTGGCTAGGGATAGGGGTATTGGTAGCGCCCTTCTATCCCTATGGGTAAGGATCACGGATCGGCATTAGTGTTATTAACATTGGTAGTAAATACTTCAATTCCTCTGTATTCCTCTTCCTGAGGGTTTTGGCTACATCTACCTTCTCAACTTTTAAACATTTTTAAAGCACCAACTAGATGCACTTGATTGTGCGACCCTTCTCTTTCATTTTTCCGACGCTTAGATGTGAATTCGGATGTGTGTTGTGTTTTTATTAACCTGCCATCATTTTCACCCATCTTTTTAACCCAATTCTTGACTCCATCGTCAGATTTAGCCTCTCACCCATCCACTCCCCTTGTCTAGACATGGATATAAGGGCGACCCGTGTAAATTGGGGCGGAATAACTCGACCTAGCATAGCAGTACCATGTTTTTTTGTCAATGGCGGATTGTTTAGAGTGGAAGTTAGAAGCTCACCTTCCACGCATTGTCTTGTAGGTCAGTTTCATCGATTTCATCTCACACCCTCTGTGGGAGATGTGGTCCGATTTGGTGCATCCTGCAGCACAGGACATTCTTGAGTTGTTGGAGTACAATCGCAATTGGTACTTCAATCTCATCCACGCTGACGACCATCATCAACAACAGACGTCACAACAACAGGCACAGTCGAAGGAGACGGAAGATTTCACTACCGCCACGACATCCACCACCACTGCCTGACATCCTCATCGAGTCGATCCACCACCTCATCTAGTGTAGATCTTCTTCCCTCCTCTTTACCTCCTTTCCTTTTACTTTTCCTCCATGGTCTCTCTCGTAGAAGTTGTAAAGGAATGAATATAGAGAGGAAAGGATGAGGGTAAGAAGTGGGGTGGCACACTTTCGATGTATCTTTCCATCCTCCCACCACTCCAATTCATCCTTGACTTCTCCTCCTTCACAATTTATCACCCAGTCCAACCACCCGACTACCACCTGTCCTTCTGCCAATTATAATCATTGTTGGTGTGTATTACTACCGCCAGACTCGAAGGAGAAAAAGATGTAGACGAGTCATTACTCCATTGTAGCATCCTCCCACCACACCCCCTCACACACCGCTCCTACTCCGTCTGGTTTCCCTCCTTTACCCCCCAACCTCCACCATCCCGGCATTCAAAGCGTGTGTGAGAAAGACTTTCCAACTCAGTTGTACAAATCATCCCACAGAGGAGAATAAGGAAGAGAAAGAGTTGAGATGGGGTGAGGCTTTTGACGATTGATGGTTGGTAGGTGGCGTCTGTGTTGCTCACGAAGACGTTTTGACGCTTTCATCAATGTACAGAAGGGACTAAGGGGGTCTGATAACATGGGTGGCTGGGAAAACTCACTTGTTCAAGCTTACATTCGAAGCAGAGCCGTGTCTCATTTCGACGTTGATATTCATTGGAGGCTCAACAGTAAGTACAATGTTCTACACGAGGAGGAAGAGGCAGCAAGCAATGCAGCGAGGAATGAGTAAGATTTGCCTTCGGCAGCGTTTCACGCTCTGCGGTTACACCTCCATACCGCTCGTCACAATGGCAGGTGCGTGTACGGAAACACCTCACAGGGCGGAACCGAAGATCATGTCATGCTCAACTGTTACAAGGAGGAGATTTCCGAACTGATAGCGGTTTGTTGCTCCCACATCGCTTAAGGTTAGACATTTCCTATGCCTCTTATTTACCATGGCAACACTCGCTGCAACAAAAAATTCACTCAATATCTTCACCGTCAGCGTCACACATATGTGACACCCCGAGTTTTCCTTTACCTTCGTGCTGACAGCAGAATGGTTGGGATTGAACAAGAAAAGAGCTGCAGGTTATTCTCGGTCTGGGGATAACTCCATCTTCTTAGAAGCTGTAGAGGTCCGGTGGAATTGTTTACCCCGGTACAACGTTCCAGGGGGCTGTAGTGATGGATTAGCCCAGGAGAGCCTGGCGGTGAATGTCGTCTCTAACATCCCATCTCCTTCGAGTCTCCGCAGAAGCAGAAGCGGTTTTCTTCCATGACATAAATGGCGCAGCCCTCCTGCCAAAGCTGCCAGCAATATGACAACCAAATAATCTCTAAAGCCGTTAGTAGACATTCAAGTCTTGAAGTAGATCCGCCAAAAACATCCACAAGAGCTGATAAATTGACGCCAACGACGACGCAAGGAGCACAGTGAGAGGTCACTCATTTAGGCGCGCAACGAACCTCCGGTGGTCAAAAATCGACTGAACGATCACGTAGATATCCGATCAGTCAGTTGGCGCAATTTCATTAAAGTATCCTTGAAAGAGGCCGGATTCAATGTTGACTAGTTGCGACACATTTTAAGGTCTCTAACACACTAGACATTATTGAAAACCCTTTTCTTTGTAAACAAGAGACCGACAGAATAAAGCATTTAAAAGTACAATGACATCAACAAGGCCCTGGGTGTGTGGAGTGAAATGTGCCAAGGAGAAGACGTCTGTATGGAGAAGCGCTTAAATGCAGGAGTAGCAGAAGGTGGAAAGGCTTTAATTAAGATGCATTCCTTGTTTTCAAGCTCTAATTAGCCTTCTTCCAGTGGATTTTTACAATCGTCGATCACTCTGCTGCATTACTTGACTGGAGTTGAATGTCATGCAACGGCACGATTGACAAGCAGCGATCAATGCTTGATAGCATTTTTGAATTGGTGATTTGGCAATTGATGAGATTATACTGAAAAGATTCAAGCTCTACTGCGGCAATGAATAGAAGTGACAAGTCGATGCAATTCTTCAAAGATGACTCGGAAGATCTCAGCGAGTGGAAAAGCCTTTGTCCTTGCCGTCGTATTTTTTAAACGGATCCAATGAAATTGCCGAGCGCGCCTTCTGCTGACCTGGTGCGCAACTCTGCTTCAAACGAGTTCTGTACCGACATCTTTGTAATCATTTATGAATTTCCTTGTTTACTAATTAAAAGCGAAAGGAGTGATCATCAAGCGATTAAGAGGACCCAAGATAAATAAGTCGGATGACTCCTCCCAAGATCGCGGACCGCACATGAAAAACATGCATACTACGGGAAAAATGAAATAAAAAGGTGGAGCAGCATCAACCAACGCGTAATACATCATATTCCACCCGCTTTGTCGTCAGATCCAACTGGAAACTCGTAAACTCCTCCAGTTGGCTAAAACGACTGTTTCATCTGAGAAAACCTGTTTTCTAGCAGATAGGGCACAGTCCTGACGAACTGCAATGAACCGATATCAAACCAGAAGCCATAACCGGTGGTAGAAAAATGCGCTCCTAAATTTATTAAAAATCTACGCACAGGAGATCTAAACCATAGGACCTAACACATGAACAGGGGCGGTGTGAATCAACAATGTAAGGTAGAATGGAGCTACATGAGGGCCAGGTCACCAGAACGCGGCGCTGTGTTGTGTAGAAGGCTGTAAATACGCGATTCAATGCCACCGAGGAGAGAGCTGGCTCCGATACGGAAGTACTCCCGGTTCACCCAATCCGGGCCCAGCATACTGTGCACCAAGGCCGTGAACTCCAGTGCGTCTTTCCAGGTCTTCAGTCCACCTGCCGGCTTGTAGCCCACCTAGAAAGAGAAGCAGAAATTGATCAGCTTTGGGGACTATCGCTTTTGTAATAAAATCGACGATCTGAAAACCTAACTTGGGCTATCTACAGTTTCATAAATTTATTAGCAAAATGTTTTTGGAAGAAGCTAGACCTATTTGAAAAGGCAATACTCGGAGAGACATTCCAAAGTGTGCAAAGCATATCGAGGAGTTCTGGTGCAATGCCATACACATCACAGTCAAGTGCCTCATGGGAACCCACCCAAAGGAAACAGGATTTTGATGCCAGGGTGGCATCATTCTGTGGTACTTTCAGAAACATCCAGAGCTGCAGCCCCTGGGATTTAAGGGGTCAACTCAACTAAAATCCATTAGAGATGACAAAGACTTGCGGCACCACGCTAAAATGAAGACACATCCTACCGTTTTTACAACAAGGAACATGTTAAATCATATATCACCGAATAGAAACTACATAGTTCGAAAAAGTGATGCTTAGACTAACTCGTTTGGTATCAAAGTCTCAAAATGAAGCAGACCACCACAGCCTACCTAGATGTTCGAATCCTCAAATGTGACACTAACAAGCACCACCCAATCGACCAATTCTGCTGCAGACGTGTGACGTGCAGACTCACGACATCTGTGACGTTAGTAGCGGATGTACCTTTCCTCACTTCCAAAAACAAAGTTGACGAATTGAGAAGACGAAAAGTACCGTAATCGGCAAAGTGTTCATAATGCATAGAACAGCCGCAAAATCTAGGAAAGGTCATTTTTTGGCAAGAAGTACGATAAAGTGAATATCAGTGAGCAAAATAGCCCGTCTTCTAGATCCCACAAAACCATTGGCTGAAATCCTTTTCATGCTAAAATTGCCAAAAATAATGCCGAGATATAGTGAAACGACGTCTCAAGGTAAGAAATATGAGGTGTAAATAGCTTTAAGCATAGCTAATAAATAACAACTTTGGATACGAGGCCCAATAAAGAGGGGAAAGTACCAGAAGCGGTGTCATCAATTAGAATAAACGATCATTGAGTTGAACTGCCAGTCGCCTATACATAAGACAAATCACCACAGTGTTGAGATGATCGTCTGTTATTTTGCTGATAAAAGTAGATGGTTATTGTGCTTAAAAACAATTTGTTCTATATTTTAATCTAGATAGGATTGAGAGCCCTAGAAGTAACCATAGGGACAGCGATTTCGACCGCTTGGCATTTGACGGAGACAAATATGCATTAAAAGCAGGTTGGTTTCCTATTTCTGATAGACACATTTTAAAAAATGTTGAAATTCGCACTTCTGCATTAAATAACCCAAGCGGTAAGTGTAGACCAATGTGGGATATTTAAAGAATCAAAAACGAAGGAAACGATCATAGAACTAGAATGAAATCTTCCCCAAAACAGAAGGCGAACATGAGACCCAGAAATGCCACAAAAACGAACCTCACAGGAAAGTAAGAGGGAGGAAATCACACACCTTAATGCCATAAGTGTCTTGAAAATCCGCAATGGCACGACACATCACAACACTGATTGGGAGAGTCGCATTAACAGTGCTCTCTTTGCCTGTAGATGTCTTGATAAAGTCAGCCCCAGCAAGCATGCATGTCATAGAAGCTGCGTAGACATTTGCATAGGAACCCAATTCACCGACCGCAAGAATGGTCTTGAGATGAGCACGATTTCCACACGTCGTTCGCATTTCACAAATCTCATCGTACAGATCTAGAGGAGAGTTAATTGTCAACTAGAAAAGGAAATTAGGAATCTACCTCTCCATCTGCCTTCAAGAGCAAGAGTCCGGTTGATAACAATATCGATTTCGGAGGCTCCACTATCAATTGCATAGCGGATCTCTTCTAACCTCGATTTGAGAGAATATTGGCCAGATGGAAAGCCAGTAGCAACTGCAGCTATGGGTATATATGAGGCGCCAATTCGTTCGAGATAATCCAATGCAGTTTTCACTTGGTAGGGGTAGACACAGACAGCAGCGGTACCTGCATTTTGCTAGTTACAAATAGTAGGGGCGGCTTACGAACTTCCCCTGGGGTCACGCCATAGCGTTCAGAGAGTTTGTCCAGAATTGGCGTGCTTAGAGGGCGTTTAGCTTTGGCACAAAGACGGTGCACATTGGCGGAAGTGTCATCACCGGCAAGGGTGGTGAGATCGATGAAACCAACGGTTCTCAGGAGCCATTGAATCTGTCAAGTATGTAAAATTCAGAAGAAAACCCTACCTCTGGATTACCCTCGAGACGTATGCTACTTAAATCCTTGGCCAGAACGTTTATATTGGAGGCATCAACAACAGAGGAATGAACAAGATCACGGTCTGGGGAATCATCAAGATTTTACCAATTAGTCATACCAAAAGCAGAAATTGTATTAGACTTCATCGTTTTCCTGCGGCGATTGACTCGGATTGCACGCGGAAATTTTCCGTAATGTACCAAAAATGCTACAAATTAAAACTACATTTACAAGTTGTAAATTTTTTAAAATGGTTAAATTTCACAAAAATATTATAACACCTTAATTGTCAATCTTATTTTACAAATCCGATGTTGCTTGTAGATACTGCTTTTTGTGTAACAATGGAGATGCCAAAAAATTAAGCAAACAAAAAAGTAAAAATGCAATCTGTTGCAACGAATTTCGAAAATGGAAAGAGATAGGTTGCGGAAGTGCAATTACGTGAATGACTAAGTATTCATCTATTGGTAAAGCAAATTGAGATTTACGAGGTCGTATTGATGGTCTTTTTACAGGTTCTTTGGAGACAATGTGATACTTGTGTTTTAACCAGTAAACCACCATGGTTTAAATTTAAGATTCATATCTTCCCCTAATCTAGCAAGTCCGCAAGACTTGCAAAATGTGGGCATCACGACGTCCCACCGAAATTATGGATAACATGTAACAAGTCAGGTTCCGGGCTGCTACTTCTCGTTCTACAATTTGTTTAATTTCCTATAAAGATTTTTTTCGCAACCGCAATGGGTGCTGCTCTTCACTACCACCTTTAGCCTCCACACCCTTGGAACAAGTGGGACTGTAATACTCAATGTTTTAATGTGCCTTTCAGGGAGGGGGCCCTCAGGAAATACGAATCTCGTGACAGGATCGTTCTCTCCCGTACCTAGTGACTGCGGTTCCTCCCTTCTTAAGCGTTGTACTTTCCCTCTCGGTCCTTACTTCTTTAATAAATATGTCCAAATTGAACCAACCGGGCTCTTTTAAGAACGCTTGGAACAGGGAAGTGGGGATCGATGAGTCTCGCCCTACAGGGACATGTTTTATTAAGTATTGACAAACAAAGAAGAACAGGCATCAAGGTCAAGGTGTCCGAGGTACGTTTTTTCCTCAAAGTCGATGACATTCGACCCATTACGGGGTTTATATATTCTACCCACCTCAAGCTTAAGGAGTACGTTTTAAATAAACACACTATACGGTCGTGATTAACAATTTAGGTTCTTATTTTTTTAGGCATATTATAAAATTTCCTACAAAACTGTAACAGTAAAGGCATTTGGTACATAAAAACGAGATCAAGAGCCCAACTTATACTAACAGCAATGTTTTGACCAATTAGAAAGGGCTGCAATGTAATGTTAATCATTTTTAAAAGAATTATACAAGTTATTATGAGCATGGAGTTGTAGATGCATAAATCTGCTGAAATGAATATAGGGGGTGATCATCTACTTAGTTTGGCATAACAAGTGATTGAAAGTACGGGTAAAAATGCACTTAACAAGTGCCTTTTTTGTCGTTTTAAGCAATCACTAGGTAAGCCAATTAATGGCTTCAGGTCGGGCTCGTTTTAACTCACCAAGTATTTAAACAAAAGGACACAGAAGAATTTAGTGGTATGTGTACGGTTCCTGGTTTTCTTTTCCTTGACTTCTAAGCCCCCTATGACCACATTTCGTGATATCTGTCCTGAAAAATGATATTTATTTCTGTTAATCTTTAGGTTTTCTACAATTCCAATTCAGTTAACTCCTCGATACTTGTAAACTTCCAAGTTAAAGGGTTCTTTCAAGCACATGCGTACATCGTATGGCCGGTATTGGACAGTAAGCTGCGCTCTCTGACTTAAATGTTTTAGACGAAATACATTTGATCATCCATCCTCTTGGAATAGTGCAGCCCAGTATGTTTTGATTATCCTCCTTTTACTAAACTAATCAGATTAGGAATGGGCAGAACCATGCAAAACGACACGCATAAGAATTCCTCGTCCTTTCAACAAAGTGCTGATAAAAGGGTGTGTTGACTCTTTGTGTTATTTGTAACAGGGTCCCACGCTACATGTTAGTTCCTTGCAAACTCATGTCTGCATTTTTAACCATGTAGTCTCTCCTGAGTAACGCGAGTGGCTCTTCGTCATTAGGCGGATTGGGTGGAAGCATTGGACTCAACTATGCTCCTCGTCCTTCGTCCTCTACTCGACTAAAAGGACTTAACTCTAACGTTGCCAACGTGCGAAATGCTTACAATCAAGATTCTGGTGTGGACAGCGTTGCCTTGAACCTTCTCCCCTATGGACCCAGTTCAAACTTCCATGGTACACCGCAACGAGGTATTTCCGAGCCTTCTTTGCTCACTGGAATTGGAAGTATGAACCACGCAGTGAATTCTGAGATCTCTTCACTCATGTCCGGCCTTGTGAACAATTCCAAACCACCGTTTATGGGTCCAAGCAAGTCCGTCACGGGTATGGGCTTGCTGGGTGGTTCTGTAAGCACCGCCACTAATCTCATGAACCCGGGCGTTTCTTCTGGTCTCGCATTTGATCCCTCCGATTTTCCCCCAATTATGAATTCTGTGAATCAATCGCAAAACCAAAGTATTGCTGGCAGCTCTCAAAGTCGAAATTACGTCTCAGTTATTGCAAAGGGTGGTGGCAATAGCGGGATATCTCCTCTAGGTGGCGGTGGCGGTGGCGGTAGTAGTGGTGCTGTTTCCAATCAAGCCTCCTTCTCGGCGTCCAACATTCAGGCCTCACCGGAATTTTCCATAGACAGGGATTTCCCCGCTTTACCGGTTGCTCAAAGTTCTGCAAATGCTGTTACTGCCAGTGGGGCTGGCGGTAGTGGTGGGCCAGGTGCTGGTGCTTCGTCTCCTTCCTCTGTAATCCCCACTGCGTTACCCTCCGTCACCATTCCCATGTCGAGTCAATCACTTAACGCCTCATCTGCCGAAACAGTGCTGAAGAATCAGGCAACTCATCGAGTACAGCGTTCTCAGAGCGGTAGTTTGTCCGTTGGTGGAGCAAATTTCAGTGGCACCTTGCAATTGCTGGGCGACAACTATGTCACCAACATTCCCAAGAACATGATTGACAACCAATTTGGGATGATTGGTCTGCTTAAGCTAATTCAAATCGATCCTTCCTTCGAAACACTCGCTCCCGGATTAAATTTAGCCTCTTTAGGCATTGTCAACTGGCCTCCATCTGGGTAACCACTTGTGATTTGGTTTTCTTTTTCAATGACTTATGTTCCTGATTTTAATTTGTCCAATAATCCTCCTGCCCATGGTTCCAAGGAAATTGTTTTCAGATTTAAGCTAGGTTTGTGGTATATAGTCCCCAACTGGGTTGACTCTGCTTGAGCTGGACCAACCAGTTTTTCGTGAAAAAGAACCGTCAGGGTATGGGTGTTTGAGGTATTAGTACCCGCCTCACATTCAGCTGACTGTTTATATCCAGCAAATCATTCTTGGACTGCGTTTGGAGAATTAAATTGACTTACTCAAAATCACTTTTATAGGCGTTGTTCTCGGGTGTGACTGGCTATTCTGCTAGTAAACCCCCCTTAATTCAGTTAGTCTAGGGACCTCAAGGAAAGCCACTTCTCAATTAGCATCAAATGCCAAGGTTACCCAAGGTTTAGCGACGAAGCAGGCTCGCTATCGGGATAAGGAAGTCTAATGGGTGGTTTCAGTCCATTCAACTACCTATTAGCTCGTTTTAAGGCGAAACTGGCATTGCCATGTTTGCATGAAATAAGTGCGACTCTTGAAAACGATGAGGAATCTCGCTATTCTCCCTGATCTACTGGGAAACTGTTCTCTACTGGACCAGCTGTAATTCTGATTGAAATTCGTGGGAGCACAAATTGTTTATGTTATGAAAACGTCATTTCCTTCACAAATGACCTGTTCTTTCAAAAAATGGTCACTTTTTCAGCATCTACTCCCCTACACTACTAGCACTTGCAATTTCACTGTTATTTGCACGTCGTCACGTCACGAAACGTCATTATCATGCTAACATCTATTGCACCACGTGGTGTTCAAGTGTGAATAGCAGAGAATTGGTTCCTAGAACGCGATCCATTCTTCCTCCTCACACGCCATTTGGCCATAGTAACTGTGCCGAGGAATTTGTCTACTTTATGGTGATTCTTTGTGGCATAGGCGGTTTTTTAATGCCTCTTCCTCATTTTCAGGGAACTACACAGCGTTTTTGCCTCTCCCTTGACCGATCAGTGCATGTTGCGACCTCATGATATGGACTACAACGTACCTCCAGAGTACCAAATTCGCAGTCGGATTGCGAGCCGTCTTCCTTCTGACCCTCCACTGGAAAATCTCACTGACGAAATCCTCTTTTGGATATTCTACAATTGCTGTCGCGAAGAAGTTCAATTGGTCGCCGCTAAGGGGCTGTAAGTCCTGCCTACTCACTTTTGTCTAGTTTGCGTATTTTATCGTCCTGTTACATCCATTTTGCTCTCAATGATTTAGAAAGATAGGGTCTGGTAAAGCCAAAAAGAGCAATTGTGATTGATTTGTGAATGCAGATACAACCGAGATTGGCGGTATCACAAAAAGAAGATGCGATGGCTCACCCCCGTCCCTGGAGGTGATGTGATCCGAGAAGGCGCCTCGGAGCAGGGCACTTATTACTGCTGGGAACCGCTGGCCTCGGAAAAGGTGATTCAACAAATGACCATCTGCTACGCTGACCTGGACGACACACCGACTACCTACCAGTTGTCCTCCTCCACTCTCAACGCTAGAGTGCAGCCCATACCTCCGATTTATCACCAACAACAACAGCAGCAGCAGCAGCACATGTTTAGCAGCAGCAGTGGAGCAGGTGGATCCACCTATTTTACGCAGACCGGACGCATTCCTCGACCTCCTGCGACTGCAGCTAACACCTCTAAACTGTCAGTTGTCTCCTCGATGCTGCCCAATGGACCAACAATTGGTGTATCCCAGCAGATGCCAGTGGGGAAAGCAGAGTCGAAAGTGAACGACTCCACCGTACCTCTGGTCGTCGCTGCTCCTGGCTCTGCCGCCGCCGCTGCTGCTGCTGCTGCTGTGTCCTCCTCTAATGGCCCGAGCTCAGTCGATCCCATAACAACTGCTACAACAACAGTACCGTCGTCATCATCTTAGCCTGCTGCATTCCTCTCTGCTTGCTTTTCTCTTCCTGCCAGTCTCTTCACCTGAATGCATTTACTCTCCTCTTTGGTCTTCTCCTTGTCAGCCACTCATCGACCGTTGCGCGAAAGTGTAAATTCTCCTCCCCCTTCCACTCCTCCCAAGGAGGCGTACGTGTATTTATTGACTTCGGAAATGTTTGAGGCAATTCAGCTCTGTAATACACCTACCTACCCACCTACCTCTTTCGTCCGCTTCACTTCCACATCTTTAGGAAGGATGGGTGAATGGACACAGGACTCATCATCCCTATTTTTTTCCTGTTTGTACCACTCCCCTTTCTCTCTCCCTTTGCATTCTTCAGCTAGCACACCAGCGGTGACAGTAGCAGCAGCAGCAACTATGAATGGATGAAAATTCCTTCCTTTCCTCTTTCTCATCAATGACAACATCGACGTGAAAATTGTTGCCATGGTGGTCGCAATTTCACCTCGTTCTGTCTGTTTGTATGTGCGCTCGCGCATGTGTGCGCGCACTCACATTAGCAAATCTTTCAAAAGTACAATTCTCTATTGGCTAAAGAGGTATTTGTTGTGCTTGTGGAAGGATGAGGAGGAGATGTCTCACGTTGTTCCTTCTAGGTTGGAGCTTCAAGTGTTGCCTTGTCAGTGTGGAAGGGATTGTCTTGCCACTTCTCCATGACTCGGTGTCCAGATCGTTTATTCGGATGGTCAAGTGAGTTCAGCTAGCTGGCAGTCTTGTGGACAACTTTGGTCTTCGTCTCTGCCGGGTGAGTGTGTAGATGAATGAACGTGGCGAGTGATGGAGTCATTGTGGGACCTTCGGTTTCACGCTCAACAAAGCGTGTGCACGAGTGGTAATGCGTTGTGTGCTGAAGGATTCGCAGTTCTGACTTCGCCTCTCTGTCAGCAATAGGTCATCTTCCACGCCAGTATAGTCTACTACGATGCGAGAGAAGGCTCAGAGCTCCACAATGAAAACTCCTGCAGTGCCGATTTGACTCGACTGCCACTCGAATATGGACTGCATCGTACTTGATGGGTGAAGTTAATTTCGTGTCTTGTTCCACGTAGCTCTGCTGTTTTGAGGTTTGACAAAAGGCCACTTCCAACCCTTAAACTGTCTATTGTTTCCGCAACAAGTAGTTTTGTAGATGTCCTTTGAAGTACCACGGAGGGATGGATGGATAGATGGGTGAATGGACGTGGAATGGGTGGGTGGATGGATGGATGGCTTCAGTGCACCAGCCACTAGCTGTTGTCATGAAAACTATTGTGGAAGCGGCTACTGCTACCAAGGACGCTGCTGATGACAGGTGGAAGGCTGTCCAACAGCCTCCTCCGACTTGGCCTCCACCGCAATGCTCGTAGAACATAGATTGAACTCCAATGCTGTGAAGTAATTTCAAGTAAAATTCAGCGTAGCTTTGCCTTGGTCTATTAGAAAAATACACTTGGCTATTCTTTCTACTGCATTCCTCTTCTTTTGAAGCGTCAGCCAAACCTGATGCATGTAATTGGATCTTGTCTGAGACAGACACTTTCCCTCATAGTTGTTGCGTGTTCCTTGGAGAAGATGCGGAGCACAGTAACAAATAGGACGCGATGCCCACAAATTGTGAAAAGCAAATTGGTTCCAAAGATGCACCATCTAGAGATCCATCGCGTTGAAGAGCACTCTCTATTTTTGACAGTAAAGAAGAATTGTGCCACTGCGACGCATAGGGAGGAGGGTTAATGAAGTAGGCACACCCAGGCGACGACAGCAGTGGTGGTAATACAGAGACTAAGAAGGTAAATAAAAAATGCATTCAATGGGACAGAAATGAGTGAAATGCGGTAAAGTGGGAGAGAGATGACCACAGCAGGCGTGATAACGGAGCTAGGAGCAGCTGTCTACATTGCCGTCCTTCCGGCACTCTTGAATTTGTGGCGTTGTCGAAGCTGTTGCTGATCCTATTGCGGCCACTGGAGATAAGACGAGGATATGGGCTGCATTCTGCAATTCACTGTGCTCCGTGTATGAGGCAAATCAACATAACCAATCGCCATTTGCCTAGTCTCCCTCGTCTAGCAGATGTCAAGCTACGAACCACATCTGCGAGTTACCTCACCTTCAGTCACATGACTGAGCCATGCCAACTCCTTTCTGTGAAATCAACGCGGAGTGGTTTCCAGCACTCTCTACTCCAAGCTAGCTGTCTGGGCAACTACGAGTGACATTTGAGTACAACTGACTTATGAAGGTATTAACCTGGACGATTGGGACGGTGGAGGGTGGAAGGGAAGTACTTACAGCTCTTTAGCGGCCACTACTTGAATGCCCTCCTGAGTGTGGTTGTAGACGATAAAGTGGGGAATTTCGTGAGTGAATGTTTTCAGTGAAGCCTCAGCGGGAAGACGATCCTCAATGTAACCATCAGTTTGACAATCCTGAGGCATGTCGTGATTAGCGTCATGCGTTGAGCAGTTCACCATAAACAGGAAAGGTGTGGTAGGAATCATCCATTCTGCCTAGAATCGGAATAAGATGAACTACCACAGGATGTGGACGAGAGATGTGGAAGAAGGTGCAGCTGGTCAGAAATAATAAGGCCCGTGGCAATGTCTTCATTTCCTGAAGCGACACCACATGGAAATGACACTAAAAGCATGTCACTGATGTGGTGGCATGAATGCTCAAAAATAGTGCAAAATGATAAGTTTTTCTTTTCTGGAGACTGAGCAGACCACCTTATGAGGAAGTGACAAATGCATAACATAATTCCTGTTCAGCTCCAGTCAACTTCTGCTGCAAAGGAATGCAGCAGAACTTCCAATACTCTATGAAAGTATGACTTTCGCGGTAGTAGTGGTAAATAAAATTGTACCTCAGTGTACCCCAACCACAAATTCTGTTAGAGGCAGTGCTACCATCGTCCCCGCTTCTTGAACAGGATGCGGTACTGATTCGATCACTTGCAGTTGCTGAAACGTGCTTTGGACATTGAAAGCTGCCTGATGAACTTGAGCCATGAGACTGATGAGGAGAGGTCAGAAGTGGAGGGGAATTAGCAGGATCATGCACAAATCCGGAAGAAGGACGCTGCGCCCCTTTTCATCTTCAGGCGACAACTCACCTGCCTAGTCTTGGCCATCAGCTGTGCAGGCGTGTTGGAAGGTGCTCCTAACTGCGCCTATTCATAAAAAGCCGTCACATAGTCTCTTTGTAAATAGTCAGGGCAAAACACGATCAAGCAGTAGGTATGCTGGCTGTTGATGTGGCGGAATAAAAAGACATACGCCTGGCTGGCCCATATATGGGGTTGTGAGCCATTGACGATTGACCTCATACACGAAAGGTCACTCTACTATGCACATGTGTGGGCACCTTCAGCGTCAATTGCTACATTGACTGCGATTCTTCGATGCAGAGCGATTTGAAAGGCAGGAGGACAAACGATTTGTCTGCTAATCATCGATGTGAAGGAGTGAGTAGTACCAGAGACTGGGTGGCGGACCAGTCGATTCTCTCTTTAGTAATCACTTCACCATAAATTGGAGTTTGGTAACGGTAATTCTATCCAATTTGCGACACTTTGACAGGGGAGTCAAATTACTGCAACGGTGAATGTTCCACGCAATCAAAATACTCTGCTTTCCATAAATCTGCAGTCAGCTTTTCCTCATGATGGTGTTGCTGCTGCGTAAGAGCTGTGGAGAAGGGCCACTAGGGTGGTGTGGAGGGATCCAGGCGAGAGTAGGAAGGTGGAATTCACATTAATATTTGTCAATGGGCGTGGGAAGTGGGATGGAGATGATCAACAAGTGCAGTTACTCAGGTACCACGTCGGCTCAGAGGTGTTTCAAGACAGAAAAGTAAGTGTAAATGAAGAAGAGAAATTGCGAGCGAAATGACTCGCTTTTAATGACTGTCAAAACAAGCAGAACTTCCTAAATTCCTTCACTGGCTGTGCATTCATTCAAATAGCTTGCGATGCTAAATTTCACTGCTCGGTGAAAAAGCGACTGAACGAATGCGCTGTGGAAAGCCGTGTTGCTCGGGGCACTACCTTCCCTCTTCACTACTGCCAGTTGGAGTTAGAACTTAATGCTGACAGTAGACAGGTACATGAATGACCGAGGCACTCGGATGGCAAGATTGTGACCTGGGCGATAGCCACATGGCTGGTTATCTACAGAGGCAGTGCAAGAGTCAAAAGGAAGTGAGGTGATATTCTACATGGGAAGAATGCCTGCAGCAATGGAGAAGTGTGCCAAGGGGAGTTCTGAGATGAGATGGGCCACGCTGGTCTAATGTGCGATGCGATAAGATTATGGGGATCTAGGCGGTGCAGAGTGATAAATCGAAATGAGCACATCTACAGTGACGTGGAATAGCGATGCATGAAATCGAAAGTGAACTGCACTGTTTGGAGTGCTTGCAGCTGCAGTAAACACGTCGAATTCCACTTGATTTCTTCTTTAACACCCGCCTGGCTAAAGGGACTTACCGGGAACACTTTGCGCCTTCATCAAAGTAAAGCTTGGATCTACACGGTTTAGGCTATTCGGCAGGCCCATTCTTGAAGGACGTTACTACTGGTGCAAATCAACGCAGAGTGAACTGTCGGCAACTCACTCCACCAGAGTTAGTAGTGGAGAGAATTACCTGCTTTTTCAAATATTCATCGTTCTCATTTACTTTGCTGCTCTAATCGGCATGCTTTCGGTTGAGGTAACATTTGGTGCCTCATTTAACAACTCGGCAAATGCAAGAAATTCTTTGAAGTGTGGTTGTGTGTGGATGTCGAAGCCTCGGATAGGTGCCTAAGCAGTGGTTTTAAGCGGGACTTTTGGAAATCTGCTCTCACAATCGAGCTGACACCCTCACACACACGTGAACCAGTGTATCGGCCTGTCTGACCGTCATCGTGGGGTGGTGCAAGTGAATGTGGCACGAGTGCGTCGAATCGCATCGTTGGTTGTGGTGCTCAAACATGCCATTCATAATATTTTGTCTTCATTAAAAGCCGGAATTAAAGCCTTCGCTTCGCCTTCACTCATCGAGAATATGACAAGTGAATCGGCAGGAGTGTTGGTGTATTAGAAAACAAATTTTATGGAGGAACAGAATTTTGAGGTGCTAAATCAGGCGGACAGGCAGGTGGGGAAATGCAACTTTCCGTGAGGCGACAGAGAAGTGTCAGCTTCTCCCACCCCAACGCAGTGGCATGAAACTTCCTCATTCTAAATGCGGAAGAAGCAGAAGCATTAAGATAAACATGTAAACATTGGATAGGCGCGATTTAACACTACCATCACTGACGCACTGCAAGCCAGAATGTTCGTGAGGGCGATGGCAACAGCAAAAAGCCTTGGTAGCAGTGGCACTTCCAACCACACCATCTACCCAGAGTTCAACTGGCAGACAACTCCTACCTCACCCATTGCTCAGAATTTCACAACTCCCATCGATACCAATGTGCCTGATAGTGGTGTTGGAAGGGGTGCCGATGCTATTGCCTCTTAGTTCATCTTTGTCCACTTCCTATTCCGTAATGTACATCACAGCTTTCTTTCCTCCCTCAGTGTTTCCACATAAGGTTACATCAACCGAGACTGCGCTGCAGATCTACGTGACAAGTCTATTGCACTCTTCACAAATCCATCGCCCGTCCTTTGGAGGATCAAGTTCTTGTAGCTGTGTGCGATTCCCTGTTAATCAGTATGTCAGCAGCATTCTCAGTGGCGTGGTAAACAGCCGTTCTGCGTTGTGACTTATGTGTTGGGGTTGGAACATGCAATGGCTGTCTAGTGGAGTAGGAAGGACACTTCGTAGCTTTGTGAAAACGAGGAATGGGTGCTCAACAACCGCCTGTGCCACGAAGACTCATAATCAGGCAGATGAATTTATCAGCAGAGCTATCACGACAGCAAGCCACGCGATAATGGCCTTGTTGTCTCCAGCATGTCAGTGACATTTCGCGAAGTGACAACACGCAAATGAAGGGAGCAAAATATATGAATAGTAAAAGGAAAAATGGAATACCCACTGGTAGCCCAGGCGAAAACCAGTTGACGATTCCTGGAGAGGCCAAATTTGGTACGGGAGCGAGTGTTGCAATGGGAGGTGGGAGGGTTCGGTTTGAATTAGCCTAGTCAGACAAGTCATTGCAGACTGTCTGTCTATCGTGTACTTAGCAATGCTGGTGGCATAGCTGTCAAGCAGTTAGTGTAAGAAGCTACTGGAATTTGCATCGCCAACTGTCATACTGCTAAACTGGGCCCCTTAATTCCTCAGCAGTGCTTCGCCTATTGCAACGTTAGGAGATTGTCCCGACGTGGGAATAATGACAGAAGGCAGTGTGGTGGAAATTGCGATGGAAGTGAGGTGAGGGCACTCGGACCATCACTACCACTAGCTGCACTCATAGCAATGGCGTTCGCTGAACTCAAAGCAACCAACAAACCTGGAAATATTATTTTGCAGAAAATCCCAGAGGGACCCAATTGTTGGGCATGAAGAATGAGACTTAATTGGAACTGGCAGCACAACTACAACTACCACCAACTAGAAGGGATGCTCCACTGCTGCCACCGATAACGATACTTCAGTTTTGTGGTTGATTCATGCAGTTTGTAGTTGGAGAAATGTTGGAGAGATCAAGTGTGCAATTGGCAGATATCCTGCCTGGATTAATGAAATGAGTGGGAGAATTCCAGAGCAGTGCAGAAAATGCAGCTTTGACGAATACGCAAAGTGTTTTTCATATGTTTTTCTCTTCCAATGGAAGGTGAAGAAGTAAACAAGTAAAGAAAGGCCTGCTCACTTAAGGTAATGCGATTCGGGCAGCACCTTTCATGCCAGAACATCCAGATTGGTCCTCTATGCCGCCATACCTCGTTGCTCAATGAATGCATTTGAATCACTCCAGCAGTACTCATTTCCGATGTTCGGTGTTCACCATGCCAATCTCGGATAAACTCACTCCACCTCAGCTCACCTCATTCTCACTGAACTGCACAGTGTATATATGCCTCTCCACCGACCGACCGAATCACGCTGCAGATGCCTAACGCAGATTGCAATGCACCCTAGAGTACCAAAATTGGCCATCGGATTGCAGGTCGTCTTCCAAGGCCACATATGATCCACTTCTTCATCTTCCTATGATATCTCCACTTCCGATTGAATGTAAAGTCAGTAATCAACAATACTGACGTGAGAATATAATCGCTTGTTGCAGGGAATAACCTAGACAACTGAGGAGGAGAGGGTTGAGGAGGGCGGCAAGTGCAACTCTTGGACGCTCACTAGCACAACCTCCTCCTGACAGTAGTTGTGAAATATCTCGATGAAGGTTTGGTCGGTAAATTAGTCAAGTGTTGAAGTAGGAGGAAGGTGACCCACCATTAGATGGCTGTTTTGGCATTCTGGAGGCAAATCGGAATCCTTGCAGTGTGCTTGCAATGTACATTAGTTAGTCGAAGGAGAGGCAAATATGCGATTCAGTGTACTCCATGATGATGACACCAACCCACGGTGTCTCGCCTGTACACACAGTCAGCATTGACCAACCAGAGGGGCGAGGATGAATGCGAGAGGTGTGTGACTGCTATGTAGTGGCCCTGAGTTCCCTCTACTACCCTTCACATCCCTCCCCACCCATGTGTACTATTTACACATCTTCTTATATCCTCGTGCATTCATCTCTCCTGCCTTCTCATGAGGTGGATGAATGGGTTGATTTGAGAGGAAACATAACTGAACGAACGTAGCATGAGGGAAGAACACAATCTCAGGCAATGACATGTGCCTCCATGCTCACGAAGTAGATGGACGATTGGGTGAAGTGAAGTGGATGTAGTGTAGGTAAATGCACAGATGACAAACAATGGGGGAGTGTGAAATCCATGTATGGTTAGATTTGGATGAGATGGTTAACAGTAGAATGCGACTAAATGAATGAGAGGAAAGTAGGTAGGTGGGCGATTTCGGATGAAATGGTTGTGTGGGATGCGATGCACTCATTGCACAGACGTTCACTGGCCTCGACGGTCAGTCTGAGAAATGTCATTCTATCTGTGTTGGTGTCTTGTGGGTAGGACCAAGTTCATTCCGTTGTCTGAAGTTGCCTCCTCAGAATACCAATTTCAATTCAACTCACCTTCAACAAACTCGTTTACTGCAGTACTGCTCTGCTACAAACAAGAGGAATCCATTTGATGTTCTGTTGGGCAAAATTGAAGTTGCGGATGAAAGCCCAATGTCAGCACAGGCCAGGAACTACGGTGTGCTGCCGGAGCATGGAATCCGCGATGGGAATGCAGAAGGTGTCACATCAGAGTTGCCACTGCAAGTACTCACTATTGAAATCCTCTTTTCAGACTTCCAAAATTGGCGTCAGGAGACGACCCAATAGGTGACTGCTAAGGAAACACATCTGATATTTATTTCGCCCAACCATGTCGCATTGCCTTCTTCCTTGGCTCAGTTGCCTCCCCACTTTTGGATTGTTTGTTCTCTCAACCACAAACACATTAAGCAAATCGCATGTCTAGAATGTGAGTTTGTGTGGATGTCACGAGGGAAAGTAGAGCAAACCGACAGTTCATGAGAACTGCTAGAGGGTAAAATCCGGATTCGGTGCTATCATACGAGGGAAGTGGAATGGCTCAGTAATGTGCCTGAAAGGGAGGCGATTGTAGGGGATGACTCGGAGTGTAGCACGTACCTCTGTTGGAATATACTTTGACGGAAGAAGGAGATCAAGGCAGTGGTGGCGTGCTACGCACATCTGCACTATTCACCAACCATTTGCACTCTGCCTTAATCTGCTCTTACCAACTGCAGGGGATGTCAGCCTCAGCAACAGGGATGAAGTCGATTAAAACAGTACGGGAGGTTAGTTCTTAGTCACCTTTTTGTATTCAACGCTGTTTGGCTAGATTTCACCATTCTTCAATTAGAATTAGAAGATGTTAACTTCTCATTACCTCAGACTTGAAGTTAGTCCACAATGGAAGCATGCAACACTCGCACCGCAAAATGAGCAGTAGAATGGAATGCTGTCTATGTGATGGGATTTTAACTTTGTCACATTTATTAACACCAACGCGCATTCGCCCCCTCCCACGCCTGTCTAACACCGTCCTCCCAAGTGAATTGATGGTTGGGTGGGAACGGATTTAGAAGAGGGAGATGTTCAGATGGATAGGGGATAGAGTGTATAAGAGTGGATCAGGATCAAACGAATAGGTGGTTGGATCATGGGAAATGAACCTGGGTTAGTTAGATAGGGCATCGTCATATAGTCGGGTCATGAGGGTCCACTCAAAGGGTAGTTTTAACTATCCGAGTGCCAATTGGGCCCGATATCGTGTCGGGGACCACGAATGAGGCCACTTCGGCAGATACAAGTAAGATGGAAGCATCACCCCTACTAACCATTCATGACTGCGATTCGCGTTAGCGCAAAACCTTTGTGACTGAGACTAAGTCTTGGCGTGGCAAAATAATCTGGACAAAACGGATATCCTTCAATGCGCAAAATTACACTCACTGGCATCTAACGTCTCTACAGCAACACAAGAGTCCTTCAATCCCTTCATACCAAGCAACTCCTCCTTTGGCCTCACATTTCACAAATCCCAATTTCCCTTCACTCTCACACCCCCATGGATTTATTTCAGCTTCCAAGTTCTGGAATGTCATGAAATATGGTGTGCAAAAGGCGAGTGTACTTCTGCTTCCAATCCAATTACCACATCTAACACTTCCAATCCTCCTCATTCTCCCAGATTTGCATGTTCCCATAGTGCTGAGTGATTAGATCTCAGCAACCTCTGCTGCAACAGCTACTGGTGGAGGTGATTCTGGCATTAGGTCGGACACATTTCCCCTCATTTTGGACAGTCGTCGATGATGTCTCCATGTTACGCATTTATTAGAGCCCTGAACGCATTTGTCTGGTCGAGCACGAATCCGAGTGTGTGAGGTAGTTTACACACTTACATCAGTCCATGGGACACTGAAATGTGAGGCTTGGGGGAACTTCCTACTTTACGATTAGTAGAATTATTATTTTAGTTGTGCACCTAGCTGTAGAGGCACTTTGCAATTCTCCTTCTGAGTTTTCTACTTTCCACATAACAGTCTACGCATGTCTTTGGCATTTCTCACTGTAAATAACAAGTTGCCTCCTAAACTGACGTGACTCATTGCAGTTTCAAGGATGACCTGGGCCACTGGACATCGTTGACTGGCACAGCAGCCACAGTGTTTACTCTCCTGATTACAAGTGTTTTAAGGAAAATTTCGCCCCCAATTTGCATTTGGAATCTGCAAAATATTTTATACTAGTTAGGGGACATGAGTAAGACCAGCCAAAATACACAAGCTATTACTTGCTTAAACTAAGTTGTACGAAATTTTGCGGCTGATAAATCTTAAACAGTGGCTTAAATTTTCATTTGCTGGAAGGAAATCACAGCAGAAGCACTACCCTCTCGCTTTGAACTTGCAGAGATACAGATGCTTCAGCTGCTGCAAATCGGGCAGCACAGCAAAGGGAGGGGATGGAGCTGCATGCATCATCTTCGCTCATCGAGGAAGTCATGGCAGACCGGAACATGGATAGTCGTGTGTCATTAAACATTCGAGAAACAGAGTGAGGAACTCATGCAGCTACACAAGGAATGCAAGCAAAACGTGTAGAAGAGGATAAGTGGTAATCGCAATCAAGGGCTTCTAGACGAAAGGGAGAAGTGCGGGAATGTAAAAAGGGCAAGACGGATGTCATTGTCGTCATCAGCATTGTTGCTGTAAGAATTGTGACAACTAGGATGGAGTAGGGAGAAGTGGATGTGATGTCGATGCAGGTAGCTGCAAGATAGCTTGTTGGGATTGGGTGGTTGTATAATTTTATTAGCCTACTGCATTCCTTCCCATTCGGCCAGTCTCATTTCCCCTCTTATGCTCCATTTTGGCCTCTGTACCACCGTCACTCCTCTGCCATTGCGCAAGCGTGTCTATGTCACCACTTCTCCTTCTTATATCTTGCTTATTCCTTTCTTCACTGTTGGCGAAGACGCTCCTCCCTACTACTGCTGCTCACTCCTCACCTCTAGCAGTTGCAGCTGTGGATGCAGTATCAGCGACAAGTAGCAACGATTGACAATTCCTTACTCATTCCAGCATTCCACAGACACTCACAAACATGGCAAAAGCTGGAACGTCACCATTAATCTTGCGGGCATGTTCCACAGCAGCCGAGAACTCGTTATCACTAATGCATCTGTCAAAAGCGAATTTCAACTGAAGGGACAGTTAATGAGTGTGCCTCTACTTCTGCCCTTACAATCATTGCGCTCTATTCTTTCCTTGTGGTCCAACTTCTGGCCTACGATAATGGGAGGGGTGCAAAGAGTTAATTGTACACCGCCGCTGATGCAGCGGTATTAGCAGCAGTGGTAGTGGTGGATGTTGTTGCGATGCCAAAGTGAGCATTCAAGACACGGCGAGGCCCAATCAGTAGTGTCTGTCAGCATCACTAAACAGCTCCCATCCAATTTTCTTCTCTCGGATAACCAATGACATTAGTCGCCACCAGTGTGAGAGTAGGTGGACAAGAACCACGGATAGAAGAGCCGTATCACTCACATGCTTTAGTCATTGGCCATTCAACTCAACCCAGAGCTTCAGTACCTCCCCGATTTATAAGATGCAAATGGCACCAAAAGTGCAACAGAAGGGCGCCTCCGGTCAAGCTGACTAACCACCACATTACAATACATTCAAGTTTACTTGACCATGGTTAGTTAACGCCTCCGAAGGAGAAAATCCACTTCTATAACCTGCAGATTGACTGCTCCCATAATCCAACTTTTGCAATTCTGAAAATGCATTCAAGTGTGGACGAAAAACGAAGGTGGTCTGGAAATTGTCCACTCGTAATGCTTCATTGCACTGACATTCTGACGGGCGATTTGTGTGCGATGGAGCAAATCCTTATGCTGGTGTTCAACAAACCATGCAAATTGTGGTGTAGGTAAATAATTTGTTTTAGCTTCAATGATTGCAGAATGCGTCCCAAGAAAGTTGCCTCGTTAGAACATTTGTGCTAGGCACAAATTGCCTTTTCGTGTAACGTTGTGTCACTAAAAGCTGAGAGAAGGCCTTTTCGGATCAACTCTGCTTCTATCGCCTCGTGTGTAATCACTTGACTGCCTGATGTAAGGATTGTGAGAAGGTGGTACTTACATAGAGCTGACAGGAGTAACACCAATGGAATAGGAAGGAGGATGATAGAATTGAAAACGAGGCTGACACTTTCCACCTTCCACCTTTCCTCTCTCTCCCTGTCTATCCAAGGACAAGTTTTGCGACTGCACGAGGCAGGAGATGTCGCCTTGCTTTCGGTGGAATAGCTTTGAGTTGCGTTGATTTTGCTGTTGGTCAGTGATGGTTGCCTAAACCACGCTTGCCTAATGTCCGGACGATTGCCCCACTTCCTCTACATTTGACATGAGGCTGTTCAAACCCTTCCTTTGAAGTGAGGATGTCTGTGATCGCACAGCCTTTGATTGTTCCTGCCTGTCGTTTTCATGAAATCCTACATTCGCCTGCCCGTCTGACCGTCTGCGTGCACACCTACCGGTTCAATTGTCCACACCTTGCAAGGGAAGGTGGAGGAGAGACTCCATTCCTGACTGCTGATGGAGACAAAAATGGTGAACGGCTTATTTGAGCAACTCTCCATCCATTGTACTCCATTTCTTTGATATTTAATAAAAAATTTCAGTATGTCTCAAGCCGGTGAGTGCAAAGTGAAAGAATGTCAGCAGGTTAAAACCACAATGATGCTGAAGGGATTAGTGACTGGATTCCACTGAATACGTAAAAGTAATGCAGAACACGAGTTCTTTTGAAATTGATTTGAATGGTATTACGTGTTCTCAGGAGGCGACTCCAGACAGTGCACAGGTGTAGATCCTACTGACATGGCGACAGAGATCGAAGCGCCTCTCAGAGTTCAGCAGTCGAGGTCAGTGCAATGAATGCATCGCATTCCAGTCGCTGAGGTATTTGCATGCAACTCAGGTCTCCTAGCAATAGTAATAATGCCTGGGAACCCACTTTACCATTTCGCCATTTGTCCCTTCTATGTGCACTCAGCCATCTACCCATCAACACATAATCCCTTATTTTCCCACTTCTGCCAAATCTACACGCCCACCTATCTGTCCACCTGTTCATGTATCTAACTATCTGTGCCATGTTTCCACACCATTGAATTACTCCTCTATCTGTCTGTTCCAAAACATTGCTTTGTCTACACCTAACGATAGCACTCTAAACATTCTAATTCTCCCTACATATCCATCCAGACATGATAGTACTCTGCATCCAATATTGCCACCCAACTAGCAACTACAGTTTACAATGTATCCGCTCAGCAATGTTGACCCCCAAATCCACCTATTCATTTGCCGTTTTATGGCAATGAAGTCAGGACAAAGAGTTGCAGGATCATACCTAATGAGGCATGCAATTACTGCAAATGAGTAGGACGGGATATGAGGGATGGTAGAGGGAAGGCAGGACCAGCACGTAGTAGTTCCGCCTCTCACCTTTGTCTTCAACTGCCCGTCTAGTCAATGGAGACTGTGTGTGAGGAAGAGACACCGTGCTACAACGTCACCGTCACGAGGACGAAAGGATGTGCAGCCAATCACAAGCTCGTATTCCGATCATCGTGCTCATCCAACCCATCTGCCATCACGTCATTCCTCAGTTTTATCATGGCCTTATGGATAAGGTTCACGGCTATGCCGCAATGATGTAGCCTGTAAAATTAATGCATTTGAGGATGGGCAGATGGACGAAGACAGAATGGATGGAGTTGCCAGAGGTGACTGATTCGAATCTGTGAAAAGTAAATAGGACGCAATGGAATGTGATATAAATGCAAGGCAAGTGGATGGGAGGAAGGCAACAAAAGAAACCACTGAAGTTTCTGACTAGTAACCACAATGAAAAATATTCAACGACTGACAAATTTTTGCTGGCTGGAGTAGTGAAGTTCTTTAATGAGCCAATGTGATCCTGGCCTTCCACCAACTTCAGTCGTTTTTGACCTAATCAACTAACTGCTCCAAGGATGCTGAACTCTTGACTTGACTTGACACTTGACTTGGTGCAGAGGTATATGGTTGGCTAAGTGCATTTGACATGGCGACGATAAAAGAGGAAAGCCGACTCGGGTTATTGGCACCAACATAAGAGGAGCAGACGAAACACCAGAATCACCGTCAATGCTCATCTCGGCAATCCCAGTGCCAGGGGATAAATGAGAGTGGTTTAAGTGCTTAAAAATGTGAAAGTTGCTAATGACTTGCAATAAGCGGCGCATCTCAATGTTGAACAAGATGGAGGATGGTTAATCGTTCACGAGACCACTACTATAGCAAATGGGGCTCGCTCCATTGTCAACACGGCTTACTGCAGGCTAGAGGTGATTTCCCACTGCAACACTGCCCGGCGAATCTGAACCAAGTTGAGGATGCATGAAATTGGTCCTGATAACGACTGAGTTGTAGGAGGACGAGAGCAGAGAGACAGCTGACGTCTCTTTACAAGCCACTGTGACAACTGCCACCGACGTGAATTCAAACGGCAAGGTGACTGGTCCAACGAACCTCGATCTGAATGCACATCTCCACTAGCGTAAATAATCTGGTGGAAGCTGTTTCACAGAAGGTGATTTAATCAAGACAAGACATGACAAGTCGTTCACTTGTACTTTGCTTGTTGCACGACGCGGAGTGTATTCAACACCACGGCTCACCCAGTACTTTCCCACATTTGTCAGCAAACTATGTAGTCTCGCACCACAAGTCTTCGGAAATATGCCTCCAAACCAATGCCAGCCCAAAGAATTAGGCGGATTCATTGCGAATAGAGGAGACTCCAATATTTCTTAGTGGTCAGCCTCGCACTCCTTCGTTGTGCTAAAAAATCACAGTACATTCGTCCTTTCATGATGTCCACTCCTGATTACGTTAGTTCCATCCTATGACACAGAAAATGTCCACTTCATTGCAGCCCCAACGTTGAAGGTATCCAGTTAAATGATTCCTAATTTGTTCCACAAATTAGGCTGTAGCACTCTTCGCACTACCAGGCCCAGGCAAGCAGCTCGTTTTGATAAAAATTTTACCTTCAAATCTATCGATAACTGCACCAAATATGCATGGAGGTGAGCTCGCAATCATCAAACAGCATCCCAAATACGGACAACAGACTAGGTGTCAGGACACCGAGCAATTGACACACATCAGATTGGATCGCCGTCTTTCATCACAGAACAGCGTTCTCACTGACGATCGGAGCATTGTTTGTGGGAAAGTGGCTGATGTATTCCTTCGCATTATGCAAAATCCTCCACCAACTTAATGTTTTCCACTCAGTATGGATAAATGAACAAGTGGTCAGCATTATCCAGATGCTTGGTCGCGTTGGCTGGTAAATGAAGCCCCAAACCCTCACCTACAGAGCTCAGTCAAGAGTGCCTCTCAAGGAGCTTCAACAACTTTGGTAGTCAGCATCCGTTGAACAGGAGATTGTCGCAATGTGGTCGGAAGCTTCACCATCTGCTCCACATTGGCTGCCCTCCTGATTAAGATGAATAGAAAAGGTAGTATCCTTTGTCAAAGAGGCAAATGTACCATTCTGTACAGTTGGGATTCCAACGTTGCCCTTTCTCTTAGGGAGGGCTACTGCTGGTGGGTGTGGTCAAAGTACCTGACACGACAAATGACTGGATATTAATCGGTGCGTGTCCAAATGCCTAATTCCTTCAGCATTGCAGGTCATGCAGCAGTCGCTTGAATGCATCGCGAATTTATGCTCGGCAGTGAATTGCAAGTGAACCCACAGGCCGAATCCAACGGCATTGC